GCGCACTGGGGAGCTCCCTGTGCTTCTGTGGGACACTCCATGTGCCCCAGCATCGCAGCATTCATGAGCCGCTTGGTGCCTAGAAGTATGTAGAAAAAACATTTAAAACTGTGTCTATATCTGAATCTTTGAATCTTTCCAAATCTCTCTGAATCGATTCAGAGGGTTCCGATTCAATTTGGAGAGATTACGGTGTCCTCTGATTCAATTCGGATTTGGAGATTCGGTCACCAAATTGGGCTGAATCTCTGCCGAATTGAATCAGGGACTGAAGCTTCACACAGTCCTAGCAGACAGAGATGCGCCTTATAGACTACCTAAATTATTGATGCATAAGCTTTCGTGAGCATCTGATAAAGTGAGTTCTTGCTCATGAAAGGTTATGCATTCCTGATTCAATCAGTCTATAAGGGGCAATTCTACCCTATCTTCTGCTTGGCTTTAGTGGTCTTGAATACTTGTGTCTTGGACTTTCAGGGAAATTCCCCAGGGAAGTTTTAGCAATAGTGCATCTTGAGTGAGTAGTTATTCAATGAAACAAGGCAAAATGTGCAATTAATATCATTCACATGATATTTTTCAGCCATTGATAAAGCTGGCTGAATAAAATAATGAGAATAATTATGTGATGAAAAATATTGTCCAAATTCACAATGATTTCTTTTCAAGAGATTAGTCAATTACCTGTAAATAGAATTTGCATCATTGCTGTAAAATGCAAAATGAAAATTGAACTAAAGAAATATCAATTCAGATTCACGACAATAGCAGCATTGCTTTGCAGACTCTATAGACTAAAAGCTTGAGCTGAATGGGGCTCAAAATTGGGACTTAGGACAAATTTTGGTGCCTAATTTTTATACTTGGAGGCTCTGGAAATTCACCTAACTTTCAGTTGCACCTCTGCATGTGTCCAGAACAGCTTCAGTCTTGATAGGCCTGAGCAACTGAGCCATCTGGCTTATACTATGTCTGCACAGGATTTCAGAAGCTATGCATTCCCAGGTCTAAGTCTCCTGAAGGGCTCAGTCTGATAAGTGTTCTTAGAATACACCTAACATGCACATAGACTCCTTATGAAAGAAGGCAGTAACTGTGTTACCTACCTATACTATGAAAAACGTAATGGCCAGAGTGATAGTCTAATAAGTGGCAAACCTGGTTTCAGTTCCACACTTGGATCCTAGTCTCTGTTCCCAGAATTGTTTGTGTGCTTTATCTAATGACTGCTTAATGTAGAATATAGAAATGGCATTGGGATTGAAACCCCAGTGTCTGCCTCTTCTAGCTGAGTACCCTATCTATTAAACCAGGAGGGGCCAACTTTTTGGCATTCATGCCACAAACTAAGCTCTATGCCCTCCTAAGTGTTACTCTAATCCCCTTCCCCTGCCTGATCTGCTGATCTTCTTCCTGCCCTTTGCTCTCTACCTATCCTTTGCTGCAGTGCCGCTACATACCACAGAGAGAAGCTGCCTTTCAGGGTTGCTAACCCAATAATTATTCTTATTATTGAACATCTGCAAAGTTTTTACTGACAAGCATTTTTTTTTTACTGATACATGTTTTTGATTATATGTTTTATGTAATGTAAATGTAAGTCTTCATCCAGGCTCTGCCCTGCTGCCAGGCCACAGTTAGAGGTGCTGCATTCAAATATGGAAGTTTAAAAGCAACCATAGTTCTTACACAGTTTTAAAAATATTTGCTTGTCAGTAAAAAGTTTGCAGTAAAAAAAAAGTATTGGTTTGGCAGCCCTACTTGACTGTAGCCATGGTTTTATACTATACTTCCTGCCCCCAAGAGCACCCTACTCACCCTCACACCCTGATGCCTGCAACCACATCTTGCACCATGCTGCTCCCCCCACTTACCCCTGTCTGCCTCACTTCCTCTGTGGCACAGATCCCCAAAGAAGCCTACCTGTGGCCCAGCAGTGTTATAGCCAGCAGCAGCAAAAGTTTGCACAATACCTAATCCTTATTTTTATACCTGTTTTGAATATTTATAATCTCAGCTCAGCTAAATAGAAGACTCATTTTGTGAGTTTGTAATGAAATCTTTATGATTTAGGCAGCCACCACTTAACCAAACTAAAATGACTTTCATTTTATCTACTGTAGATGAAGAGTAGCTGTTTTTTCTTAAATTCTAGTTAAAACACATAGTCATACTTGAGCATAAGGCCCATTTGGTCTTTTAATAAGTTTGGAATTGAGTAACTTGTATGAGCAGACTTACACTTTTTCTCAAATGCAAAATCCGTGTTTAATTTTTAAACATGGAAGCATCTACTTGGAAAGACTGTTGTTGTGATTATAAATATTAGGTTTATCTTGAGCACTCTCAAGTCTTCATTATTGGAGTTTAACTTATTATATTGCTACTCTTCATCTAAGTTGTAACCTTTAATTATCACTGGTACATTGATTTCTCCAAGCCTTCAAGCCATGATTGACCTTTACAACTGAAGGAGACATTTCTTTTCTTTGTGTTGAAAAGGTGATTTATACATATTATTAAGTCAGAAAAAAGCATCACTCAGTGGTAAAGTTCTGTCTTAAATACACAAAATAGGAAAACATCCTGATAAAAAAGATATTCGATCCTTAATCTTTGCCTCTGTGCCACAATATTGTTTTGTGTATATGTATAGTAATAAACCCAATTGGCCAAGTCCTCAACTGGAGATCAATATAAGCCGGTGGATCTGCTGAGTTACATCATCTGAGGAGAAAGTCAGATTCCCATTTGCCATCTGATTTGACTACACAGATACTGTTACTTGTCCACTCAGAAAATATAAGCAGTTTGGGAGATTGAATTGAGGGTTGCATATTTGACATTAACTGCTCTGCTAACATTTATTTTAATTACATAGGCATTGCAGGTTACCCAACCACATCATCTTAAACCTGTGTATTCCTTTCTTCAGTGTCTGACTTCATGTTTTCCATTTTAATTACACACAAGGAAACTGCATTAGAAGGACAAGATATAATGTTTGTAAAATTTTATCTGGCACCCTTGCACATACATGTGACAATATAATTTAAAATGATATAGTCAGGACAGTCCAGGAATTGTTTGGCAACTGCTGATCCTTCCAGATCATGATGTATGCATGAGAGTTCACCCAGACCTTCAATACATATGCCTAAGCAGGGGTTTAGGCTGTCTAAAGGTCCTCCTTTAGGTCACTGAGACAGAATCCAAAGGCTAGACTGAGTGGCTCCATGGCTATATTTCAATAAGGGTCTGGGAATTGAACCCAAATCTCCCGTGCGGCAGACAAGGAGTCTACCACTGAACCACAGGGGACTCTAGTCTAAGAGTTATGCAAGAGGAAAAGATTTCTTTGGATGGTATCTTTCATTGGACCAACTCTATAACTGGGATAAAGTTAGACAAGCTTTCAAATGTAAGACATTCTTTGTCAGGTCAGTGGATGAAGAATGCCTTACATTCAATAGCTTGTCTAACTCTATCGCATCTATACAGTTGGTCTAATAAAAGATATCACTCCAAAATATCCTTGTCTTTAATATAATTTTACACATTTTTCACATACCAGGTTTTCCACAGGACCTTCTATGATTAATTGCCCTGGATACATAAAGCTGCTATTAAATATTTTATTATCTCACTGTTTGATATACAGACCCATGCCTTATTTACTGAATACTGTTCAAACCCTGTTCTGGCAAAGAATGAATGGCATCTTTCACAAGAGACTCAGAAATCTGAGAGAGTAATCCTCTTCCTGATATTAGGATATGACCACTAATCCAACTTCTATGGCAGTCAAAGCTGGTAACAGTCAGCCCCACTGACTATATGGAAAACTGAGGTAGGATTGTCCTGCATTGCTGTGGGAGAATGTCCATGTGGGCTGAGCCCTGTTACAGGGTCCAAGGCAACTGTCTCCTTTATGAGAAAATCCTGAATGATCCTCACTGCTTGGGTGTTTTCTAAATGAGTCAGGGAGCCTGTGGAAAAATTAGCACCTGTCACATAATTATAGGTCATATCATATTTCATAGGTAAAAGTGGGCTAAGTTTCACAGCAGCCTTAATTCTGGCATTTGTCAATGTTCTATGGGACTCCTAAGGAGGCAATGCAAGGGACTCCTAAGGGGCTAGTTTCCTGGCCACAAGCAGAAAGGGCTCAGGCAGGGAAGAGGGCAATGACTGGAGCTCAGTAACTTAAGCAGCAGCACATGAGAGGCAACTGCAGCAGACCATAACAGGCTGAGTACTGGGCTGGTTAGAAACCCTTGGGGAAGGTGGAGGTTCAGTATACTAAAAGCCTGGATCCTGAACCAGAGAGCTCAGTCTGCTCCTGACATTCACTGAGGGTAGAATGCCTGCCAGGCTTGGTTGCTAGAGAAGGGAATCCAAGCAATACCAATATTCAGGGAAGATGTAAGTAGCCAGTAGATAGAGGGTAGGAGTTTTCTGGGACCTACAGAGAGCCAGGAGGGGTTTGTGTTTGAGTGTTGGCTGGTGAGGTTTGAGTTGCCCCTATAGTGGCAGTGTAAAGGCTATGGGTGGGTGTCTAGAGCTCTGCCAGACCAGGGCCTGGGGAGTTGTAGTAATCCCTCCCAAGTCAGGGGTTGGGATGACTGGGAAATCAGAGAGCAGCTTTGCCATTCAGGGACTTAGAGAGCTTGAGCAGTCCTGCTAAGGCTAGGGGCCTGGAGGACTAGGTGGCTCTAGAACTACATGACTAGAGGGGAGCCACCTCAATGGGGTCAGGGACTGTGGCGGAGCACCTTTGGGGGTGCTTGCCACTTGAGGACCCTCACAGGCTCTGAGGGGAGCCTGCTTTGGAGGAGCAGCAGGGAAACTTTCCCCAGGTACCTTTGTAAGGGGGAAGGTGTGTGGCAGGGCACTGGTGGTGCCTGCCACTTTAAGACCTGAGCCAAGCAGCCAGCAGGTGCTTGATTGTGGAAGCCATTTTAGATCCCTGGCTGCCTATATAAAAAGATCAGTTCCCTGCTGGCAGACTAGGCAGCAATATTACCTGGTTATGAGGCTTTATGCATAATCCTGGAGGTAAAGGAGGAGCTCTAGGGGATGGCTAGAAGGCTTCTAGTCCTGGGCATGACCTAAAACTGCACCCTGCTGGGAGCGGGTGGCCTGGTGGGGCTCTCAGTGGCACGAGCCCCCAGGAAATGTCAGGCCAGTTATCATCCTGGTAAAAGGTGGGTGCCTTAACCCCAGGCCTCACCTTCAGGTGGGTTTGTGTAACACTGGAGGTAGTGGGGGCCAGGCAGAGCTGTGGCTACCTGAGCCCTGTGGGGTGCAAGACCCTGAGGAGGGTGAGTGGGGGCCAGGCACAGCTACGGCCACCTGAGGCCACCAGGGAGGGAAACCCTGTGGCCCTGAGTGAAGGGGCTGGAGATGAGGAACCCGAGTGAAGGGGATGGAACACCAGAGGGATGAGAGCCCGATATGTTTATATATAGAGAGCACAATGACATGCTGCTCCGGGGGGGAATGAGAGTCCCTGTGAGACCCTGGAACACCAATTGTGGTGTGAGTCCCCCCAGCTCCCACAACCAGGTGGGTCACCTGCTAGTAGGGCCAGAAGGCAGACCCCAGGAGCGAGAGTGGGACTAGAGGCTCAGAGGTCTGATGTAGAACACCCTTGACTGGTCAATACTGGGGCCAGGACCAGAACGGTCAAAAGGGCCAGAAGCCCACCACAAGGAAGGCCCAGAGTTGAGGGTCTGGGATCCCAAATGGCCTTGAAGGCAAGGCCAGGGTCTGTGGCCACAGGTCCCAGGGGGACCATGCCTGAGAGGGGAAAATAGTTTTGGGGAGTTAGGCAGTCCGAATGAAGGCAGGGTACACTGCCAGATTGGAGGGATCTTAGAGGGGTCCTGATTGGAGGATTCTGGGGCCCAGTGTGGGGCTGGTGAGATTAACATCAGTGGATGCCATCTGTGAGGCATGGGCTGCAGTGTAGGGGAGGTATGGAGCCTCAGATATCATCCCCTAGCATCAGGGCAAGAATGGGCAGCCTCCTGCCTTTCTTAACATCTTAATTAATTAAGAACAAGGTGTGGTGTGCCCAAAGGCAAGTGGCCCAAAGGCACTGTGGCTAGGCAGAGAGCCCCACTTTGCCACAGGGACCCACTGAGCTGAAGCAGTCCTTCCAGGGTTGGGGACCTGGAGGACTGGATGAGGGGAAGTGAAGGCTGGGTCAGAGGGCCCAGCCTGGTTAATACATGCAGAGTACTCATCTGTGAGGCATATGTGTGGCTAGGGGGGTGGCTGGATGCCAAGATTATAGTCCTTAAGGCAACTGGGACAACAGGTTGTGACTAGGGATAAGACGCAGTGTTGGAGAGCCAGTGTTCTCTGAAGTTGGAGCCCTATGGAGAATGTGAGCAGTGGGGTTGGAGCCCGGAGTCACGTGGGCCATTTTTCTGGCTAAGACTGAGAGGGAAAGGAGGAGTCCTGCTTGGGGCAGGTTGCTGGGCTCAAAGATGAGCAGGGCTGGGCGAGGGTCGTCTCC